CAAATCTTGTTTCACATTTCTCTATTGTTTTTTTAAACTATAGTTTCCTGAAAAATGGAATTACTGACTCATATTTCTAGAAAGCTTTTTGGCAGTGTACTAATTTGTCCTCCCACTAAGAGTGCTTGTTTTATTGCAGCAAACTGATTGTGTTTGAAGAACATTGCTATTATTTTTGGGCCTGAAGTATTAGTTGAAAAGATAAGTGGGTTGTTCCAATCTTTTTTATGCTATCCAAAGCACTTAGCTTTGTGGGGTTAACTATCTATTTGCTTTTCTGGTAGACACAAACCCAAGATTAGACAAAGTAGAATATTTATTCAATACTCTTAACAAGAGAAAACTATTCTTACCCACTTTTCTTATACATTTAAATTGTGAGGTTAATGAAAGTTTAAGATTGCAATTGACTGCTATGTCTAAGGAAAAGGGTTGAAATAAATTGCTTAGAAGTTGAATAGAAGTTGTATATATATACTCAGTAGCTCAGTGCGTGTGTAATGAGAAAGGCTGGGTATGAGGCGGGACATGAAAGGATTAGAAAAAGTATTGAAAGGTTGAAGAAGGCCCAGCACAGTAGCCTAGTGGCTAAAGTCCTTGCCTTGCATGCACAGGGATCCCATATGGGTGCTGGTTCTGATCCCGGCAGCCCCGCTTCCAATCCTGCTCCTTGCTGTGGCCTGGGAAAGCAGCTGAAGATGGCCCAAAGCCTTGGGACCCTTACCCATGTGGGAGACCTGGAAGAAATTCCTGGCTTCTGGCTTTGGATCAGCTCAGCTCCAGCTGTTGGGGCCACCTGAGGAACGGAATCACTGCTGGAAGATCTTAAGAAATATACCTTTACTTTTGTCCCTACCTAATTGACTCTGAATGAACAATAAAACAGGAACACTGTTTGTCATAATATTTTGTGTTTACACCTGCTGAAATGATTTAAATATTTTAAGTCAATAAAAATTTTTTGAAAGTAGTGTAGTCTGGCCTGGTGTAATGGTCTAATAGCTAAATCCTTGCCTTGCAACCATGGGATTTCATATGGGTGCTGGTTTGTGTCCTGGCTGCTCTACTTCCATCCAGTTCCATTCTTGTGGCCTGGGAGGGCAGCAGCGGATAGCCCAGGGCCTTGGGACTCTACCTACGTGGGAGACCCAGAAGAAGCTCCTGCCTCCTGGCATTGGATCGGCCCAGCTCCAGCCGTTGTTGTTACCTGGAGAGTAAACCAGCAGATGGAAGATCTTTTTTTGCGAATCTTGACTTTCCAATAAAAATAAATACATCTTTGAAAGTAGAATTTACTGAGTAAGAATAGGAAAGTTCTGATGATGTTGGATGCTTTTCAAAGATGAGTTGTTGTCTTGCAATGGCTGGAGATGAGCTAAGTCAAAGCTAAGAACCTAAAATACTCTGTGTGTCTTCCTTGTGGGTGCAAGGACTCAAGGACTTGTGTCATCTTCCGCTGCTTTTCCAGGCCGTTAGCAGGGAGCTGAATCTAAAGTGGAACAGCCAGAACATGAACAGGCACCCATGTAGTGTGCTGGCGCTTATAGACAGAGGATTACAATATTGAGCCACTGTGTTGACCACCTCTGAAAATGAGTTTTTAAAAACATCTTCATGGTGTGGTTTTAAGTATTTGAATATTGCAGACCCATATTTTCACTTAATAACAAAGAATTTAGGGTATTTGCTAAAATTACTAAAATTCCAAGTCTAGATTCTTTGTTACCAAAATTAGGTTTTTAATTTTCAAAAGATTTATTTCTTTGAAAGGCATAGAGACAGAGAATAAGGAGAGACAGATCTTCCATCCACTTGTGCTTTTTCCAAATGGCTACAATGGCTAGGGCTGTTCCAGGCCAAAGCCAGGAGCAAGGAGCTTTAGCTGGGTCTCATGCGGGTGAAGGAGTCCAAATATTTTGGTTTCCCAGACCGTGGTTACCAGGGAGCTGGATGGAAAGTTGTGCAGATTAGACTCCAACTTGTTTCTAGTCTGAGGTGGGCCACTTTACCTGTAACATTCCCAGAGCCCCTTCTTCTTCTTTTTTTTTAATCTGAATGTTAAAAAGCACAACTCGGTGTTACCAAAGGTTAAACATGAGCAAAGGCACATTTTTCTTTGTTGTTGCAACACAATATGAACCATAATGTAATTAGAATTGTAAAAAAGACTTTGTATACCGAGGAGGAACTGAATTTTAGATTTCAACGTCACAGTGAGCTATTCATTTACACAGAATTGTATTTGTGTGAGGTCAAAGAGGGAACAGCATGAAAATGAGTGCTTCTGTAGTGTTGGTACTTTTCCTGATCAACAGTTTGTTGGAGAAGCAGTTGCAGGTTTGTTACCTAAGGCCTGAGGCAGCTGAAGAGTCAGAAGGCGCATGAATTCACCTGTAAACAACCCTGAGCCTGAATGTCAGCCAGTTCTGGGGGAAGTGGAGTCTTGAGATGCTGGCTCTCAAAGTGCTGTTGGAAGGGTCTGGCATTTATGTCCTCCAGACAGTGCGGGTAGATATTAAGGCAGCCGTGGGAGCACTGCATTTTGGTCATGTCCTTGTTTTTTTGATCTAACTTGCCTTTGGGCCTTTTTTTGCTGTGGTTGAACACCAGCCATATCTGGGTCAGGACAGTCCTGGTGTGAGAAACTGCACAGCGCAAGGTCTTGGAGAAGAGAAGAGGGAGTGCTCCCAGCAACATTGGGGTCAACTCCACCCAGCAAGGAGGAGAAAGAGCTATTTGGACTTTTCAGAGAGCCAAGTTCATGTTAGCTTTAGGATCATGTTTCCCAGAGATGTAATTTGATCAGTGTGGTAATAGTAATAAAGTGGTAGTTAGCATGTGCTAAGGAGTCTATTAAAGATTTTATAAATTTTAATTTCCATAACACCATGAGAAACATGTAATGGGTAAAGTAAGGATGGACAGGTTAAGCACTAGCTCAAGGTCACACAGGAATAAGAAATCAAACTAGACCTTCTCAATCTTGGTGCTCAGGCTGGTCCACAGCCCAAAAGCAATAGGTGAGTTCTGTAAAGAAATGCAAAATCGTGGTCGCTGAGCAAACAGCGTGTTAAACTTGTACCGTTAGTAAGACCCCCAAGAGATCTTGTGTGCATATTGAGCAGCGCCACTTCACACCTTGCTATACTCTGTATTAAAGGCCACACTAAGTAGTTGGAATTCTCAGGATTATTCCTGGTTTGATTTTAGTCCCTGGGCATTATCTGTTAACATTTTCTCACAAGACAAGGAGGTAAACTGAGTCAGCCAGTGTCTCCCGCACTTGAAATTACTATTGAGCTGCTTTGGATCCTTGTATGTAATGCTGAAGAACAACTGACTAATTTTTGTAGACATTTGGTCAAAGACCTGCCAAGGGAGTAAAGCTCAGTAATTCAACAACCTTTGCTCATGGACTGAACACATCAGATTTACAGTCCCCAGCTTCATTCTGGGTAAGCATTTCTCAAATTAAAAAGAACAGTGCTAAAAATAGCATTTTCTAAGGAACTTGAAATCTAGAATATTTTATGTCTTAGAGGGTTAGCAAGGAAACTGGCTTCCTTGCTAATTTCATTTTGTGAATGCAATTATTATGTTGTAAGAGCAATAACAGATAAGAAAGTTAACAGAGCACAACAGCACTGTCCATTGTATAATGGAAGACCCATAGAGTTGTTTTTTTTTTTTTTTTCAGGAGACCCATATAGTTTTAAAATCTCTGGTGGCCACACTTTAGAAAATAAAACCTATGAAACATTTCAGCATGTAATCAACATCAAATATTACCTTTTTTTTTTGTACCGAGTTTCAAAAAATCTGTATGATTTACACTCAGTGTCTTGAGTTGGATATTTTTTCAATGCTTAAGTGAAATGTAGTCAAAACCAAATAAAATTGTTTAGCAGAAGATATTTTACATTGTTTCAGTTTTAAAATTTAAACAAAATTAAATTAAATTTAGCAGTCTCTTCCGGTCCAGTCAGCCACATTTTAGTGTTACATGATGTGTTTCTGATGGAAGTGAGACCTGTGAACTTGATTCCCATCCTATATGGTCAATAAAGAAAGATACTGTGGTCTGGTAATAATACAGATATGGTACAGAGAATAAAGAAATAAAGATTTTGGTCATAAAACATTTACTGATTCCCCCCTACCTAATCTGCGTCCTGCCCACGTTGGAATTTATTTACCTGCCATATCAGTGGTTCACCTTCAGTTTCTTTACACAGTTATTCTACTGAATGAGGCCAGAACCAGAAGTTAGAGTACACCCCTTCTTAGGGCCTATGTCCCTCCAGATGCCTGTTTCTATATAAGTCTGCATACTTTTGGGGAAAATGCAGGCTGGGGGGTAATCGTTTACATGTACAACTGGGATAGCCCGAGGGGAGCTAGTTTTGGCCAGAGGTTATAAAACTTTATATGCCTACCTGGATCACCTGGGAATAGACTAAAAATATCCAAGTCCTGACCTCACCCTTCTAGGTTCTGACACTCAGAGGGTGAACTCCGGACACAGTCCATATTAAATAGGGAGCTCTGTTTCTGAAGTTAAAGAATGTACGGGACCACTGGACTCGGCTGTTGACTTTCAGAGGCTGCGAACTGGAATTCAGGGCGTTCCGCTGCAGCCATCAAGCGTTCCATCTTCCTCAGGCTGGCGTTTCCCAGGCTGTTGGTTTCTTTTTGACTCATGGGTTAACCAGCTTAGGCTGTTAAACCATCCGCGGAGATTCTCAATGACAGCGTCCCTTCCCGAGCTTGCCGAGGTACACGGTGTGGCCATGTGACTGCCAAGCCAGTTGCCAACGGCGCGGCCATTTTTGAGGCTGGCACCCAACCTCGCGCCCCGGGAGCCCAGAGCGGCGGCGGGTGCCGCTATTACCAGAACTCAAGATGGCCACCACGCCCGCTAGCCAGCCCGCTAGTCCGCGCGCCAGCGAGGCAGCAAGAGACGCGCGGGCGGCTCGGCTCAGCGCGCCGCGCCCCGAGACGATCTGCAGCCCCGGGGCCCGGGGCGGAGCGTCCGCCCTCCCTCCGGCCGCGGCCAATCAGGGCGCGGGGCCGGCTCGCCTGGGGCCGCCCGCGCGCGGGGTGTGTGAGGACGCGCTCGCGGTCGCTGAGTGCCTGAGCAGAGGAGCAGTTGCTGTGGTACCTGCTGCTGCTGCTGCTGCTGCCCCGGCGGACGCGGAGCATCGGACGCTGGCGAGGTGGCGTGGGGGCAGAAAGGTGAAACCATGACGTCCGTCAGGTAAGTGGGAGGGCGGTCCCGCCGAAGTGCTGCTTGGCTGGGCGTTAGCCTCCTCGGTGCCGCCCGCTTCTCTTGGGTGGTCTGGAGCCTCCCCGGTGCTGCCGGTACCTTTCCTGCTGTGGGTTCTCTCTGCACTTTTTATCTGGGCATTTTTGCTTCCCTCAGAAGTTTTTTTTTTTAGGAGTGGGGGGTGCCTGTGGCACATGCAGAGCCTTCTTTTTCAGTCAGCGCTTCGCCGAGGTGACCCTCGCCCAGATTGCAAACTTAATTGGGGATATAGTTAATGTATCATTAAGAAATGCGGTTCCCGGCTTCCCCTCGTCCCGGTGACCCCAGGCCCCAGGGAAGGTGACGTGCACCACGTGTGTCCATGCCTGCAGGTCTCGCCTCTTCACAGAATTTCACTGTTGGCCAGAACCAACCTGCAAAAGTTGGCTCTACCCTCCCCCCACCATGCAGGTAGATGGCACCCGATTGTGAAATTGTGTGTGCCTAAAATGTTTGCCTAGGACTGAATTAGTATTCTTGTTCTCGAAGGTCCCATCTGTTTACCTGCTTCTCTGAGATCCACAAATGAAATAAATTTTGTGGGATAGCTGGCGCACAACCCAAGGAATAAAACAGGAGACTTTTCTCCTAGTCGCTCTTGCCGAGTTTTGGAGATTATTTTTTGGTTCATGGCGATAGGGTCATGGGTTTGTCCACTTCCTGCATATAGCCTCGCCTGAATGTTTAACTTAGGATAGTTGAACTAATGATAAACAGACACAGATTGCTTTATTTGCACAGTTTACCGACCTGCTGCCTTTAAAGTAGACCCCGTGGCCTTTATGATCTTAGCGAAAACGAATTCTCAGCACAGATGTGCAGAGAAATGAGTTAGATTTTGGCTGGTGAGCTTCCAGGGTGCGAGTCCTGGCCATTTAACGGCTTCCCCAGGATTCTTCTGACTATCCAAGGTTTAAGAGCAGCTGTAGAACCTTACTTTATGTCAGTGTAGATAAGGTAAAATGTGACTGTGTTGACTTGCATACAGCCTCTCTTAAATTGCATGATTCTGCACTTGTGTCAGTTTGCAGAAGGAGAAATTCGGGAACTGGAATATGGAGACTTCCCAGAAAGGTTTTACAGTAAATTGTATTGGGGTGTGTAAATCTAGCTTTTAAAGCCAACAGTGTTTGAAGGTACATTATTATATGCAATTGTAGTAAATGCTAATTTCCCGATTTCTCCATTTTCCCACTTTGCCTGCCTTCGCAGACTGCTTGCTGTTAATTAGGTGTGCAGGTAGAATGTTTCCTTTGCTACCAGATTAGCTCTTAATGTGGCTTCAGCTTTAATGGACAGTCATCTTCCTGGCTACTTCTCCCTGGAGGAATATTTGTGAGCTGGTGACAGCAGCTGTATCTTTTAATATAAAGTTTGGATGCTTGTTTTCAGAAGATATTTAAAAGTTGACTCGACTGTGCTGTATTTTGACACTGTAGTTGACTGATTATCATGATCATTAAACTTATTACATGCTGGTCTACATTTTACAGTTGATAGTCTTGGAGTACAAAAAGCTTTTTAGATGTTTTCTGGACTAGCAGTTACATTTTACACCCAAGAAAACAGTCCAGGAAAACTTGTGGCTTTTGTGGAAAGTCATTTAGTAGCAAAGTTAGGAGCTGAATCCCCTTCTCCACAATCTAGCACCGTGCGTGATGTGCTTATAAAAACAAGATGCTGCTTAAATTTTCTGAAAAAGCTATTTCTTAAGACCAAAACTATAAAGTACAGTCATGTGATGATGGACTGTATTCTCCACGGTGATCCTATAAAATCGTGGTAGAGCAGAAACATTCCTTTTGCTTAGTGACACGCTAGCCATCATCTTATAGTACAGCCCATCACTCAACAGGTTTGTTGTGAAGCTAATGTGAACAAACCTACTGTGTTGCAATTTGTATAAAAGTGCAACCCAAATAATTAGGCACAGTGTATAGTATGTGATAAGCTACTATGTTACTGGCTTATGTACATATATGTATATACATGTAAATACTATGAATCATTATTTAAGGATGTATTCCTCCTAGTTATTAAAAAAAATCACTGTAAAATAGTATGTGGGATGCCAACAGCAGTTTTATCCCTCTTCTGTTTACCACACATATTCTTGTTTGAATGATGAGGTCATGTTGGGTGACAGACCTGTACTCCTTAGGCTGGTGTGAGTACATTCTGTGATTCTGGTCACAGTACACACCTGTGACCCTTTCCTCATAAGGCATCCCAGTTGTTAACCGATGCATAACTGTATTATGAGGTAGCCAGAGTAACTTTTGCATCCCTTTTCCTAGTCCTATAAGGAACTTTGCTAAGTTCAAGGGTAGGCAGGAAGAATACCAAAATGGGGTGGCTGTATATGGTGACAGTTTTGAATGATTTGGAAATCCTGTATACCAGCCCAGTTCGTAGAGAAGGATTGTGTATAATGAGGTTTTATCACTCTTTAGTTTTCAGTCAATTATCAAGTGCTTCCATTTTGTACTTAGTCCAACAGTAGAAGAGTAATCACAAGTTATCAGCTTGACTTCATGTTAGATGCTCTCATTTATATACCATACTTCAAATAATTGCGTCTAGGTGTGGTAGTGGCAGTATATGACTTTATAGTGACTTTGAAGGAACACAGGGTTGGAAATGTGTGAGGACTGGTGGCCATCATACCAGAGCTTTGGACTTTGAGGAACCATTTTTGGGTTACTGATCTTCAGTTCCTCTTTGTTAATGGTCTGGACTTTTTGTTTCCCATTAGTGAAGTATGTCAGAGTATTGATTCTAATATCTATCCTGTGGTGTGTTGGGTATGTTAAGAATGCTTTTAAATTTTAAAACTTTTTTTTAAGAAAAAATGAAGTATTGGAATGTATATTTTGTGCAAGATTTTCAGAATTAATTCTCTTTACAGCAAGTTTAAAATTTTTTAAAATTTTATTTTCAATTTTGAATTTTATGGTACAATTCTCTATAGTCTGGGATTCCCTCCCCCTCAATTCTCACCCCCAACTGATTTTTTCCCCTGTTGTCACAACAGTACATTCCTTCATAAGAAAGTTACAATTCCATCAGTCTGCTATTTAAGTGTGCCCCAACATTACTGGTACAGACAATGTCAGACAGTCCATCTTGCCATTGTCTAGATGTGTCCAACACTTTCATTGTGAGTCCATCTTTTATTTGAAAGTAGGTATGCATGTTGTATTGTGTCTCACATCTGGATATGGTCGTATCCATTACTCTATCACTACACATTCCAATTTGCATGATCGCTTCCTTGTGTTAGAGAGAAGACATGGTATTCGTCTTTTTGGGATTAACTTATTTCACTGAGTATAATGGTCTCTAGTTGGGACCATCTAGTTGCTAATGGTGTAATTTCATTCTTTTTAATGGCTGAGTAATATTCTATGGAGTAGATATAAAAGATTTTGAAGAAACTGTGGTACAATTTTAAGGCTTTTTATAAATGTAATATGTTTTTCTTGTCAAGAGATGAGCTCTCAAGAGAATGATAATTAAAAAGAAGTGTTTGAATCATTTTTTAGAAAAAGGTTTATTTGGAAGATATAGTTATATGGAGAAGAGAGACAGAGCCATCCTTTATCCTCAGGTTTACTCCGCAAATGGAGGCAGTGGTCAGGTCTGGGACTGCTACCTGATCTCTCATGCAGGTAGCACGGCCATCTTGGGCTATCTTTCACTGCTTTTCTAAGCTATTATTAGGGACCTGGATCTAAAGTAGAGAAGCCCAGAATTTGGACTGGCACCCTAATGGGATGCCTGTGTTGCCAGTGGTTACTTAACTTGCTGGCCTTAACTTCTTAACTCCAGTACTGGCCCCTGAATCTTACGTCTTTAGACAGAAAACAAACTTATCTCTAATTTTTCTCATTTTTCAGTAGAAACTAAAATCCAGCAATGTTAAAACTTGTTAAAGTTCTCATGAATGTTTTCATGCCTTTTTTCAATTGGCACTCAGATCTCTAGGTATGTTTATTCAGTGCCCTTTCAGGTGTGTAAAAAAAAAAAAACAAGGCAGAAACAACTTTTTACACTTTTTAAAAAAACTTCAGTTCTTTGAATTAATTTGCCTAGGGATAAAGATTCTGTTCTCATACATCATAAGTGAGAGAGGGTCCAAATTTTAGCCCCTGAAATGGAATATCCCTAGAGAACAATTATTATTACTCTCTCTGTATGTGTGTATGTATGTACACATGGCATATTTTAAGTGGGAATTTGGGAGATGATAGAACGTACCTAATAAACTGATGTTATTTTCATTTGTATTTAGCATAAAAAATTGAGGGACAGGAAAATATGGGATGTCAGGATTCAAATAGGATCTTAGAGAACATTTTACGTTTTCACTATATTGTATGTTGTATCCAAAGTAGTTATATGTCTTAAGAAAATGGTGAGCCTGGGATAAAATTTGGGTCTTCTGATTACTACTTTATGTACTGTTCACTGAATAACACTGTTTCAAAATAGTCCTGTGAATGTTGCCTTGTTATTCTAGCATTAGTGTCTAGTCTGCTTTTGGGCATTACTTGCAAGTTTGGGTTTTGTGCCAGGCGTCACTGGGCAAGTGGGTTGGGGAGACAGAGAGAGTGTTTGCTGTAGGTTCTAAGGAGCCCTGTTTTTTGGTCTATTCAGACAGGTCAGGTTTACTCAAAGCCTATTCTGGGATTGTGGATAGAACTGTACCCTACATGATGATTCTGGAACCACTTCTTTGGGTTAGGCCTACACTGGAAAATTTATGTGGGCTGTGGGTGGGTTCCCAGTGTATTTTTCTCCTAACACTCAGGACTTTGAGGTGCATCCAGTAGACTCTGCCAAGCCACTCAGATGGAGAACATTCATATGGAGACTAGAATCTGGCTAACACTGAAACTAGCTTACTTGGTTGGCTTGGTTTCTTTTGAGCCTTTAAGCAGAATTTTCAG